TGGAAGTTTCTCCTGGGCTACCTCAGCTGGGAGGGCTCGACCGAGGAGCACAAGGCCCATGTGCGAAAGAAAACGTGAGTGGAAAAATGTGGCCCCTGCATTCCCAGGGTGCCCCTGCTCTGTGAGGCCCCTATCTTGACCCCCTCAGGGACCCTCAGGGAGAAAATGTGTCCCATCCCTGGCTGTAGGGCCCATCTGTACCCAGTCTCTGACATGCTTTGTTCAGCAGGGGTGACAGATTCGTACTAGAAGCCCACATAAGCTAGGCATAGCAAAGCACACCTGTAAACCCAGCACTGGGCAGGCTGAGGCAGGAGGTATGCTGCGAGCTTGAGGCCAGCCTGAACTACATGGTCTAACCCCATCTCAAAAACCAAACCAAAAGTGACAGTCCACATGGTGGTGTCATGTGGTGGGATGCTAGCAGTGGGGAGTGAAAGGGGTGGCAACCAGAAGGATCTGGTGGCCGGCTTGCATCTGCTAGGTCAGGGCAGAGTCTGGGGAGAGACCAGTGAGGTGGTGTGCCCGTTGGGAGTTTCTCTGGTGCTTCCTGCCCTCTTCCACCCGCAGGGACGAGTATTTCCGCATGAAGCTGCAGTGGAAGTCGGTGAGCCCTGAGCAGGAGCGGAGGAACTCACTCTTGCACGGATACCGAAGCCTCATTGGTGGGTGTTGGGTAGGGTCACCTGGGGAGCAGGGGGGTGGGCAGAGGCAGGAATGGCTGGGGACAAGGCCAGGGACAGTGAAGGGGAAAGCGGCCTTGGGGTCAAGTGGAAGCTTTTGCCAGGAGAATTTAGTAACTGTACCACCCCGTTCCTCAGTTTCCCCACTTGTAGGAGGCTGTGACAAGCTGTGGGGAAGCCCAGGGCCTTGAGGCAGGAAGGCTGGTGATGGTTCCTGCCTCCGAGGAACGGAGCCCAGGACTGGTGCTGGGGACTGGCGGGGTGGCCCCGTCGCCTTTCTCATGTGTGCCCCCTGCACGCCCTCATCCCCGCAGAGAGAGATGTGAGCCGCACTGACAGGACCAACAAGTTCTACGAGGGTCCTGAGAACCCTGGGCTGGGCCTGCTGAATGACATCCTCCTCACCTACTGCATGTTCCACTTCGACCTCGGTGTGACGACGGGCAGGGAGGGCTGGGCTGGGCCCCTCCAGGGTGCCGAGGGCCTGAGCAGCGCCTGACCCTGTGTCCCCCCAGGCTACGTCCAGGGCATGAGTGATCTTCTCTCCCCGATCCTGTACGTTGTTCAGAACGAGGTGGACGCCTTCTGGTGTTTCTGTGGCTTCATGGAGCTTGTGGTGAGGCGTGGGGTGAGGTAGAGATGGGGTCCTTGTGGAGTTGAGGCTCCTGGCTCCTCACATGAACCTCTCTCGAACCCTGAAGCATGGGAACTTTGAGGAGAGCCAGGAGACCATGAAGCGGCAGCTGGGGCAGCTGCTGTTGCTGCTGAAGGTGCTGGACCAGCCCCTGTGCGACTTCCTGGGTATGTCCCAAGGGCCAGTGGGTAGGCGACAACGGGACCATAGACCATTCCAAGGCACCTCTGGTGGTAGCTGCAGAGGGTGTCTAGGACCCTGGATCCTGATCCAGTCCAGAGAAACATCCCGTGTGAGCCAGAGCCTAACTGGAAGTGTAAGGCTGAGGGGCGATTTAGAGCTGCCTCAGCACACACAGGCGTCCTGGTGCTGTGACCCTCTGTGTACCAGGCCAGCCAGCCCTGGTCACTTCTATCCTAGGATGGCTTGAACTCGGGCTTAACCTGCTGGGTACTTCTCAAGAATAAGGGCCTGGATGTGGCTCTTAGCGTTTCTATGTCCACCAAGCATCTTCTCACCTTCAAGATGAAAACTGGTTCCCGAGGATCTCAGTGTTCAGGAGGCTGAGGCAGGAAGATCACAAGTTCAGGCCAACCTGGGAAATTTAATGACTCAGTGAGAGACCCTGTGTCTCCTGTGTATGTCTGTCTGTCTGTCTGTCTGTCTCTCTCTCTCTCTCTTTCTCATCTTTTTGAGACAGGGTCTTGCTATGTAGTTCATGCTGGCCTTGAGCTCACTTTGTAGCCCAGCGTGGTCTCGAACTTGAAATGATCCTCCTGTCTCAGCCTCCTGAATGCTGGGATTATAGGCATATGCCCCCGTCTCCAGAAAGTGTTTTAAAAAGGGCTGGGAGCAGGGAGATAGCTCAGTGGCATAAGTGCCTGCTTGGCAAGTACAAGGTCCTGAGTTTGATCCCTATTACCAAAAAAAAAAAAAAAAAAAAGGCTACAT